TAGCTTCCAAGCTTTTCTGTTCTTAAATTTACTTTCATTTGTTAATGAATTACTAGCCAACGAGGAGTCAGTGTAAAGGTTGGCCATAACAAACCTTGTATAGGATGAATGAGTTCCATGTGGGCTGTAAGAACCTCCTCATCCTCACTGATATGCATTTACAACTGCGTACAGTTGTAGCTGAAAGTCCCAGTGCAGCACAACTGAATGCAACAGTGAATTGTGTAAAGCTAGAGTTTTATAAAATGCTTTTAACTGTACTTTCTAAATCTCACAAATGCTACGTTAAAACTTCTAGATGTGCTTTCTCCCATAACCAGTGTGATAATCCATGAATTAAATACTTGGGCAGTTCTTGATCAATGTAGCACAAAAATGATTAGGAGTTTAGGAAAACGTCCAGGTGATTCAGAATGGAAGTTATGATTTCAGAATCCATGTTCTCAGTCAGTCTCTAAAATCCATTGTTTTGTAAAAATTTTCTCCAGAAGAAGATATATTGTTTAAAATACCCTATTATAACACTGCTACCTAGGAAATCTACCTGCTAAATAGAAGTAAATAATTTAACCACTCCCAATGAGCAAGACAATGATTTGGTTGTGCAACAGTGACACAGATCAATGTGCCAGTCTTTGTAAATGTTGAGTTTATGGAGAAACAAAATAATTTTTCTCCAACCTGGCGTTTAAGATATTTTAAGGTTTTTTTCTTGTGATTTGTAAAATGCAAGATGCGTCTTTAATCTGTGAAATATGTATAACTCCAAAAGTGCTATGTCAGTGTGATGCCAAATAACCCAATTTAGAGGAAAGTGCCACAGAGTCAACTGCTGCCCAATTCTGCCACGAAGCTCCAGCACCTTTAAAACAACACAATTCAGTCACATGATTTTCAAGCATTAGGCACAACTGTATAGAAAAGTCAAAGACTCTGGAGCAGACAACTATACCGGATTATATACTTTGACTAAAATCATGGTTCCCATGAAAATGTTTCTGTTATGAACAGAAGGTTAAGATTTAAACAGTAGGAAAAAAGAATTTATTCAATAAGTTCTTTCAGTACATAAATTCTTTCAATAAATAAGTTACTCAATAAGTTAAATTCAAATAAGTTGGAATTGATCTGTACTTAAAAGCCCTTACTGTGAATTATAAACTGGCAGAAACAAAAGCACGGCAAGATCTCTACAAACTCAGAGTCAGTTGGGCAGACAGACTCATATTTTGTCAGGAAAAAGACAAGTTAACATCTTTTATTCATATGCACTTAATCACATGCACACAGTCAAAGGTCAAAAATCTCTCGGCTGAAGAAACCTGCATTAATTCTGCATGAGTGAATAATATTAGGAAGAATTTTCAAGAGCATTATTTTGCATGCCTGAATAAAAAGAATCAATAGATTTCCACATAGACAAGCTGCAGAAGGCTTGTAGAACAGTTATCTTTGTCCTGATGAATTGGTTGGTTGGTACACAGCTAAACACATGATTCCTCACACTATCAAGGTGTCTCCATAGGTAATTGTAGACACAGAATCTCTGGAAAACTGATACTGGCTTCCTGATGTGGTCTTAAAATTTATTCCACTTTCCTTATGTATGAGATGGAGGCTATGCATCTTCAGAAGAATAGGATAGGAATACATGTTGACAAACTGTAGAAGTGAATGAGTCCCAGTTAGCCTGTCAATGAAACAGCTACAAATGTTCTTTGAGGCTAATGTGTATTCTGAGGCATTAGGGTCATTAGGGTCTACATTCATTTTTAATTTTTTTAAGATTTTTTTTTTAATTTGAAGATAGAGTTATCACACAGAGAGAGAGAGAGAGAGAGAGAGAGAGACAGAGAGAGAGAGAGAAAGAGAGAGACAGAGTTTTCATCTACTGATTATTCCCTAAATAGCTAAAACTGCCAGGGCAAATCCAAGGTTTGGCCAGGCCAAATCCAGGAATTCCATTGGGTTCTCCTACTTTGGTGCGGAGGCCCAGGAACTTGAACCATTTTCAGCTGTTTATTTAGGTGTGTTAGCACAAAGCTAATTGGAACCTGAAGCAGCTGGGACTTGAATTAATAACCATATAGTATGTTAGCATCTCCTGTGGTGGCTTAACCAATTATGTTACAATGTCCAAGCCCCTTTTTTTAATCTTCAAAATACAGATAATGCTTACATGTTGATAAATAATTTTCCTGTTCTTTTGCATTTACAGTAGTTTAAGTATTCATATGTACCAATAACAATAAAAATGTTATTTTGGGGTGGTCTTATTTCTATATAGATAGAATGCCATATAATATATGTGTGTTGCAGGAACTAGGACATAACAATCACTTACTCTTCAAGTGACTACAGAGAAGTTGCTTATCTTAAAAGGCTTACACTCTGTCATATTATTTTTATGGGGGGCAGGGGTTATCAACAACTCTTATTTTCTTGAGTAATGAGAATAAATGAATGAATGAATGAATCCTTTTATGAGAATCACATGTCCTAACCATGATATAATATTAGCTAAAATATATTAAATACTTACATTATGTCTGTTTTAGATGATGTATATTCAATATGTGTGTGTGTACTTATTTATTTGATGGATATAGATACAGAGAAAGGTCCCCCAATGCTTAGAAGGTTACTCAAATGGCTGTCATAATGCAAAGTTGGTTCAAGGAAAAGTCATGGTCCTGGAATTGCATTTAGGTTTCTCACATAGATTGAAGAGGCCCAGGTACTTTGGCCGTTTCCCAACCTTCTCCTAGGAGCATTAGCAGGAATCTGGGAGCAGAGTAACCTGTTCTTGGAAAGTGCCTGAGATGCTCAAGTTGCAAGTGGTGGTTTTACCTGCTACACCACAATGCCAAGTCCTGCATGCATTGTCTTTCTTCTGCAGAAGCTGTTCCATTCTCACTTTCCTACAGATGAAGGAAGTGAGACAGATCCATTGCATGGATCGTGTAAGGCCTCCTGAATAGGCAGGTGGTGGAGCCACACATGTCATCCAGTCTTGATAGAAGCTGCTGTGTATTCCGTCACTGGTATATTGTCTCCTGATTGTAGTCATCATGTCCTCAGTGCAGAAGTGCATTGTTTGCCATTTGTTGTCGTTAACATCACTTCTGAAAACCACCAAGACATTTCTTGTGTACGGCATGACTTGTAATCTCTGTTTGAAGGAGCTACAAGGTAGCTATGTAGACTCCCTTTCCTGTTTCTTGTTCGTTTGAGGAAAGGAGAACTTTGAATGGTCTCCCTCTCTTTTGAAGTCCCTCTTTGCTGTAGCCATGAACTTGATATTTCCCATGATATTGCTTACAAGTTCATATACTTGTTTTATTTGAAAATACTGGTTTAAAACAAATGACATTTAATCCATTTTAAATGAGTAGATATTATTTTTAACAATATATGATATTGGAAGACATAGTCCTCATTGCGAATTGTAGCTATTTATTTCTTAGTGTTTTCTTGATCTGTATTCCCCATTACCTCAGAAATCAGTTTATTTATTTATTCATTCATTTTTTTTTTTTTTTAGTTCTTGGAACTTTCTGTGAACTACACGTTCAGTGAGTGTGTTGAGGACATTTAGTTTGCTTAATTTTGTGTTTCCAGCATTCAGCACATGCTGCAATGTAAATGTCACAGGTAAAGAGAAAGAAAAATTAAAAGAGAAAAATAATGAACAAACACATTAATTAATTGTAGACTCTACTGTGACTATGCTTATTTTTAGGATTTTTCACTATTGATTTCCTTTTTAGAAAAATATTTGTTTTCCATCCACTGGTTCACTCCCTGAATAGTTGCTACTGTGTCCAGAGCTGGGGCTGGTCCAAAGCCAGGAACCAGGAGTTTATTTCAGGTCTCCCATATGAGAACAGTGATTTCAATATTCTGACCCTCCCCTGCTGTCTTCCTAGGCTTTTAACAGGGAGCTGTATTGGAAGTAGAGCCACCAGGACCCAAACTAGTGCCTGCATGTGATGCTGTCGCCACAGGCAAAGGCATAGCTTGCCACCACAACACCAGCCCTGCATGTCTTTTTAAATTGCTTCTGTTAAATATATTAAGGCTTGAAGGCAATTAACCAGGTTTGCTCAAACTCTATAAACAAGGATGGAATAGAGACGAAGAAGTGATTATGGATTCTTCAACAGTAGACCATGTAAATTTACTCCATCTGTGTGTTTTCTATTTTATATATTTTTTGAAATGGTGATTGTAGAGATGTAAAATCCACAGTTACTAGTATTACTAAGCTACCCTAGTGCTTGACCATTATCTTCGATCCTATGAACACATCATTTCAATCAGTACTTAATATTTTCTCAAAACTAATTCTATTATTCGTATTTTATATACCAGGAAGCCACCCAATTACACAGTTAGGAAATGGTGCATCTGAGAGAACTTACAGTGAGTATCTCTGATTTTTTTTTTTTTTTACAATTGGCATGCACATTGTTTGGTGTTCTGGGTCTAGAAGTGCTCGAACATGGCCTGAGGAGCATGTATGAAGCAACACAGGGCACGGTTCCTGATTGACCTCTGGGTTAGTGGCATCTGTGAAGCCACGACATTCACTGAGTTTCATTTGCAGGCTGCTGCATGTTGTTCAGTGCTAGCCGAGAAAATATAAGATATTTTGAGCTGAGTGACACCTAAGCAATACTTTGAAGAATAAATAAGTTTTGGATAGTTATCAACAAGCAAAAAATCGTGTTTCAGAAAACAGAATTGTTTAACCAGCAGAGAATTCTATCTGTTTAGTGAGGCTTGAGTGCGATACTCTTATGTGATCAGGATCTTCCTTCCAAATGAGGAGAGACAGATTTCATTTGTATTAGAGCCAAAAAAAAAAAAAAAATCTTAGGGCATAAAATCAGCTCTGTATTGCTTTTTCCTTTCCTGTGTCTTGGGTGTCTGACATATTTGGATATTTTTGTCTATAGGCGAATGAATGATTCTGAGAGAGGCATATGACCTGACAAATGGATGCTAAGAAAATGAACTTCACGGTGACTGAATTTGTGTTCCTGGGGCTCTCATCTGAGCCCAACACGCAGCTCATGCTTTTCATTATGTTCTTGCTCTTCTATTTGCTAACAGTGGCTGGGAACATCATCATCATCACTATTATTCAGATAGAACCTCACCTCCAAACCCCAATGTACTTTTTCCTCACCAATTTGTCCTTTTTGGACATTTGCTACACTTCCACCAATGTTCCACAGATGTTGTCCAACATGGTGGGGAAAAAGAAGACCATCCCCTTTTCCAGCTGTGCTATTCAAATGTACTTTTCCCTCTCATTTGGAATGATTGAATGTGTTTTGCTTGGTGTCATGGCTTATGACAGGTATGTTGCCATTTGTCACCCTCTTCATTATACTGTTATCATGGACCGAAATACCTGTATCCAACTGGCAGGTGTTTCTTGGTGTAGTAGCTTCCTGAGTTCCATGGTAATCAACGTCCTTGCCTTGAGTTTGCCCTACTGTGGACCCAATGTCCTGAATCATTTTTTCTGTGAAGTACCTTCTGTTCTGAGACTGGCTTGCACAGACACCTCGTTCACTGAGTTGGTGGTTTTTGTCTTCAGCATCATCATCGTCTTCATCCCTTTCCTCCTCATTGTTGTCTCATACATGCGTATTCTCCTGTCCGTTCTCAGAATGCAGTCAGCCTCTGGCAGGTACAAAGCTCTGTCCACCTGTGCCTCCCATCTAACAGTGGTGGCCTTATTCTATGGAACTGCCATCTTCATGTACATGCGACCCCAGTCCAAGTCCTCCCGGGCAGGGGGTAAAGTCATTGCGGTGTTCTACACTGTAGTCACGCCCATGCTCAATCCTTTGATCTATAGCCTGAGGAATCAAGATGTGAAAGGAGCATTGAGGAGAGCTATTGTGAAACGGTCCACTTGAGAGCTGTGCTGACTCAGCACATTCAATTGTTTATCTAAAATGGTTTCCTTTTGAATATGAAGTGGGGAGTAAAAATAAGCTTGGGCAATCAATATCCTTCCTGCCCCACAAAAAAGACACACAAGATTAGCTGTAACTCAGCAGCAAAAATACTTCTTCTGAGGACGTAACAGTTTACAAGTGTCAAGTGACTGCTATTTTGTCACTGAAGAATCCTGTTTCTTTCAAACAAAAGACTCTGAAGTTAATTATTTCTCTGGTGAATGTTGCTTTCCTGGAAGACATAAGTGATATTTTAAATAAACATTTGATTTATTTTTATTGGAAAGGCAAATTTATAGAGAAAAGGAGAGACAGAATGTTTCACCCTGCAAGTGGCCACAATGGTCAGAGCTGCTCAGATTTGAAGCCAGGAGCCAGGAGCCAGAAGCCTCTTTGAGTCTCCCATGTGTTTACAGGGACCCAAAGACTTGAGCCATCCTATGCTACTTTCCCAGGCCACACACTGGGAGCTGGAAGGGAAGTGGAGCAGCCAGGACACAAACTGATGCCCCTATGGGATTCCAGTGCTTACCAGCTGAGGATTGATCCGTTGAGCTATTGCACAAAGCCCAAGATTTATTATTGATGTTGTTGTTATTTTATTTTTACTGCAGATGCAGATTAGATGGAGAGATAGAAAGATTTTACCCACTGACTAACTCCCAAAATGGCCACAAAAGGTGGGGTAAGATGATCCAAAGTCAGGAGCCAGGAGCCTCTTCTGGGTACCCATGCAGGTCCAATGTTCCAAGGCTTTGGGACATCCTCCACTGCTTTATCAGGCCATAAGGAGGGAGCTTGGTGGGAAGTACAATAGCTGGGACGTGAACCTGTGTCCATATGGAATTGTGGTGCTTGCAAGGTGATGATTAATTCAACTGAATCATCGTACTGGGGTGGGCAGAGGTAGTTTCTGGGTTCAACTCAGCAGTACTACTAATGGGAGAACTTCTACATGTAACGTTTCAAATGTATGGTAACTTCATAGCTTTCTAGCAAACAGGATCCTTCTCCTATGTTTTTTAATCTGTATTTGATGATGACCCCTTCCTATCCATCCTGCTTTCGAAAGAGTCTATTAAAATATTACATCATTTCAATTTTACTTGAACTCTGTCCTTCTTGTAATTCCATGGCTATTGTTTCTTCCTTTCTTTGTTGCCCAACTGGGTAATTTCTACACAAAAATTGATTTGGGGCTATGGCAACAGAGAAAACACACACTTAGGAAAAGCGCTGGAATTTTAATGTAATGTATGGCTTAAAGCAAATCAAGAATAGATTATTTTCATAAGTTATAATTTCTCAGTACTTGGTTCATCAGTATTAAGCGCTATAAGAGGGTTTATTTAGAGTGAGGATAAAATTACAATTCGAATATTCTGATTTATCTATGAATTGTCATTTATTTTTCTACTGGAATTCAGTTTCTTCATTTATAAAATGAGGTGGTTGTTGGATTAGTCACTATATGTGTATTTATTAAAATATTTATCTAAATATCTATTTCTGTCTGATTTGTCTAATATCTATCGGTCAGTATCTATCACCTATTTGTCTTCCATAGTCTCTGTAGTTTCTAGAGAAAAATCTACTCTAAACAGAACATGTCAAAAATTCTGAAGTGGATATTCATCTTCATTTTTTTTGAACATGTTAGCTAATTTTACGGAAAATAATTCAACATTAAAGATTTTAATGTTATTGTTATAAGTATAGAAGATATACTAAACACAACTATTTATGGCATGTTATCATTTTTCTTAACAGCAGTCTTTTCTCTGAACTTGGAAAATATTTTATTTAGTATTGTAGTTATAAAGTATGAAGATTCAAAACCATGGTATGGAAAATAATTTGGTAAAGCAAATGATGTCTCATCAATTTCAGAGCTGCAGAATAATCTGAATTCTAAAATGTTTCTTTGATATTATTCTTTCTTTTTTTCCCCTCTACTTACTCATGCTATGATGATTCCTTCAGCTGCTTAGCTTCTCAAACATTCAGTCCATTGTATTTATAGGCAAATGTTGTCCAGATCTATGCCAAGGATATGTTATGCAAAAATGTCTGTTTAGTTGTTATATATAGAACTATGCTCTTTGCTTTTTGTTTCTTTTTAAGATTTCTCATTTGAAAGCCTGAGTTACAGAGATAGGGAGAAGCAGAGAGAGAGAGATCTCCCATCGACTGGTTCTCTCCGCAAGCTACAATGGCCAGAGCTGGCTAGTGTGAAGCCAGTTGCTTGCAGTTTCCTCCAGGAGTTCTGTGTGGGTGCCCGGGGCCAAACACAGGGGCCATCTTCCGATGCTTTCACAACAACAGGGAGCTTTATCAGACTTTGTGCAGCCAGGACATGAACTGGTGTCTGCATGGGTTTACCCATTATGCCACAGTGCTGGTCCCTTTGCTTGATTTTCGGAAGGGTTTTCTGCAGCTTTGTATGCCATCCTCATACAGGTTATATTTACCACAGTATCTTGAGGACATTAAGAAGCCACCTTTGGTGCTGTCTTAGACATGGTAGGTCTGTGCAAGTGTGCTCCATGTTGTTGCTCAGGTGATTAAATGCACAGCAGCCAGTTCTCAGAACGTAGCCCCCTTTCTTCAGAGATGCATGCTTGTACCTCTCAGACTCAGCCCACAGGGATGTGTGCCATTAGCTTGTTATATGTTTTCCAGGATAGAAGTTGATTAGGGTGATTTTCTTCATAGTGAGTAAATACATGGTTGTGAAATAGTGAAGTTCATGATGAAATTCATTACCAGTTGAACTCTGATCTTAGCTTTGATTAATCAATCAAGCAATCAATCAACTGCATTGATGGAGAAGAAATCCTAGCTCTGACATTGCCCAGTGATCATGCAGTTGAACTATTTTTTAAGTTTATTTAGTTTTGTAGGAAGGGCAGAGTTACACACAGAGAAAGGAAGATAGGATAGATAGAGACAGACAGACAGAGATCCTCCAAGTATTGGTTTGCTTCTCAAATGGCCACAGTGGCCAGAGCTGAGCCAATTCAAGGCTAGCAGCCAAGAGTTCCTGCAGGTCCCCTGTGTGAGTGTAACATCCCAAGGCCTTGGGTCATGATCCGTGAATGCCTGCTGCTCCTCAGTTACAGCCCCAAAATGATGGTTGTCTTTATTTCAAAGGCATTGGGTCATAATCTGCTGATTTTTTTCTTAGGTCGAAAGCAGGGAGCTGGATCTTTGTGCTGCAGCTAGAACTTGAACAGGTACCATTAGGGGATGTCAGTGCCAGCAAATGGAGGCTTAGCCTACAATGCCACAGTGCTGGCTCCCATTGAGTTGATATTTCATCTAGATACTTACTCTTCTTTTCAGGACTATAACCTAACCTATGAATTCTCGGAAACTCCTATAAATCTGGATATGATTATGTAATATTGAAGCATAAGTTATAGCAGAGTTTAAAAATTTAGGCCCAACATGGTAGCCTAATGGCTAAAGTCCTCACTTTACATTGGGATCCCATGTGGGCACTTGTTCTAATCCCTGCTTCCATTCCAGCTCTCTGCTTGTGGCCTGGGAAAGCAGTCAAGAAAGACCCAAAGCCACGGGAGATTAGGAAGAAGCTCCTGACTCCTGGTTTTGGATCAGCTCAGCTCTGGTTATTGTGGCCAGTTGGGGAGTAAACCAACTGATGGAAGGAAGACCTTTCTCTGTGTCTTTCCCCCTCTCTGTATGTCTGACTTTCCAATAAGAATAAAAAAAGATAAAGTTTACTCGTATGATTTAAAGTGTTACTCTTTTAAGAAAGATAAGAAATATGTGGCTATCACCGTGCTCTAGTAGGTTAAGCCTTTTCCTGTAGCATGGGCATCTGATCTGGGTGCTAATTGGAGTCCCGAAAACTGCTAAACTTTGTATGCATCTCCAGTTTTTCTTTAAAATATTTTTAAGAGCATACTATAGGATTAGAAGCATCACCAATAGTGATACAGAAACATGAAATTTTAGAAGATGGATAATTCAAGAAAGGCAAAAAACGAACCACAGGTCTGTTATGAAAAGGAAAAAAAAATCAAGAAAAAACACTTTGGTAGAGTAAATTTGGAAAATTCAAATAACCTATCAGGTCATATGAAAATAAAAGCTATGGTTTTTTTGTGTGTGAAGAACACATGTATTAATCAGCAGAACCAAATTTACACTTATTCATTTACCATCTGATCAGTTAATTCATCTGAAATTATTTTATTATTTTATTATTCAGAATTAGGATAAACCTAATACTTGCATAGTTTTGTAAGAAGAAACACTTCAAGACACTGATATGGGCTATATTTTGTGTGTGTGTGTGTGTGAGAGAGACTCAGAAAATACAGACACTGAAAGTCAAACATTTATAGAGAGACAGACACAGGCACACTGAGACCAGCAGAGCAGGGCACGGATGGGGCGAGGTCTGCTCACTGCTGGTCTCGCCAAGCTGTCAGAAGGGCCAGAGCTGGGCCAGGCTGAACTTTCACTGCAGAGTTGGCCCTCTAGTCAGGTCAGTCTGGACAAAAGATAGCAACCAGTGCAGGAAGGATAGTGTTTCTTAAAAGGAGCAATACAAATTTTGGATCAGCTATGAAACAAAACAAACACTAACTCATCATTCATGCTATTAAAACACACACACACACACACAGCATTAACAGAAGTGTAAAACAAACTAAAGCTTGTGAAAAACAATTGCCAAATAGCGATTGAACAACGAAAAATAATGTGTCCAGTATATATTAGTATATAATTCTCAAAACTTGTTAATATGAAAATCAAAATAGTAGGCCCAGAATAAAAATTGAGCATAAACTTAGGCAGATACTGTGATCAGAAACCATGGTTAATTTCATGTTTTAGCTACCATGAACAAAGCTCTTTTAAGCACGATGAATTCATATCCCTTTGATAAAATGAGTTCATGTTTGGTTCTATATATCCATTACTGG